AATAATCGCATGCACCACATACAAAAACGAACAAATGAAAAATATTTTCATCGTTGACGAAAATTTTGAAATATAAATTGTTGCCAATATTGAAAATATTTCTCATTAAATAGTTATTTCAATCAATACAAGCGATTGCTTTTAAGAAAATATTTTTTAAATAAATGGAGCATTAATCGATGTGGATTAGTTAATGAAAATTAAAAATCCGTACGAACTCTAATTATAAATTTCTTTTTTATGTTAAAGATCATTGGCGATTTGTTGATCAAATTGTCGACCTAACTTAACCACTCCATCATGTTCGGTTTATAGCCAGAGATGTTGACCATCGACAGTACTATTATTGGGGAAATTCAAATGATTGGTTTGTTTAGTATTCAATTTGGTTTTTAAACTTTGGTTTTATTTAATCTTTAAAATATTTGAATCAAGACCGAATTACTAAGTATAATCAATTTGGTCATGTTGGAAAACTCTGTTGACCCACATCAGCAAGACTTGAGAAATGGGGAAAAAAAAAATTGGAGAGGGAGAGGGGGGAATCGGGGGAGAAAGGTAGTCGTTCCGCCTTCACTCGCGCGAGCTGGCGACCCTCGCCGAGGTTTCAACTAGGGTAGTCAGCAATCGAGAAAATTATCAAAAAAGTCACAAACATTTATACGGATGTCAATTCAGTCATAAATATTTTAACTTGGCTAATTTAGTCTTAAACATTTTGATAATTTATCAATGTAATCCTTCGTGCCAATTTTGACCGGAAATCGCTAATATAATGGTCCAATCAGCACCAGCCGCCCAATGTGGCATGGCCGGCACTGGCGCTAACGTGGATAATTTTTCAATTTTTTTCCTTTTTTCTTGTTTTTTATTTTCTTTCCTTTTTCTTTTCTCCATATTTCTAGCGGAGATTGCCACCCACAAGCAAGGGTCACCCTTGCCAGACCCTCATTGGCCTCTGGCAAGTGTCGCCCTTGCCAAATCCGGTGAAGCTGATGCTCGCCGGGTTGGCTTCACCAGATCTATCCTTCACTGGCCTCTGCCCCAAAGGCTAGTGAGGGCGTCTCGGCCCTTGCTGAGGCCCCGGCCATCGGGGGGAGGAATATAGAAAAAGAAAATAAAAAAAAAAAGGAAAGGAAAGGAAAGAAAAGAATAAAGAAAAAAAATTCAAAAAATTCATTTAAAATTGCAAAAAAAATTGTCCACATCAACGTCGATCATGCCACGTATGACAACCGGCATCCACGTTAGCGATTTCGGACCAAAATTGGCCGGATTGACTGAATTAACATAATTGAAAAATTTAGGATTGAATTGGCATATGAACAATAAATTTAGAACTTTGTTTGTAATTTTCCGGCCGGCCATCACACAGCCACCAAGCGATAGTTAGTCGACCCTTGCGCCGTGGTGGCAAACGTTGGTGCAACAACAATACAAGAGCGCTTCCGCTTGCCTCGCCCAACTGGGCAAGGGTCCACAACCCCCGCATTGAGACCTCGGCATACGGTGCATAAAGTCACATCAACAAATGAGGGTACAAGAACCATATTGACTAGAACTAAAAAAAATTTTTCTCATGAGCTATAACTAAATTGATTCAATTCAAGGGAACAAGAACCAAAATCTAAATAAAATCAAAGTTCAAAAACCAAATCGAATATTGACCGAGAGCAAATGCATATTGATCTTTGTCATTACCCCCACTATATTGCAATATGTTAAAAACTACGGGGCACGAAATCCACTGTGAATGCATGCATGTGTCAAAGATGTGATACATTAATGGTTTATTCGAGACTATAGGAAGCTTCTATAGGTCTGCCCAATGCTCATGGTTGCATGTGCATGCTGCAAACAAAATTGCACGAAGGCAAGAAAAGAAGAACTAAGAAGATGACCTCGTTGACCCCTTAACAACCATCGAACCTATTCGAACAACAACCCTAATATTCTAATTCCTGTCTTACTGTTAAACACAAATTTGTGGGGCTAGGGAGTAAATTCGACAATTAAGGGGGCAAGACCCAGCAAAAAATGCAACAGGAGGAATCAAATGAAGTCATCTCGTCTCCCAGCAGTCAAGCAAACTCCTCTCTAAGTCCGATTGTCTTTGCGTAAAAACTCTATGGAAGCTTCTTTCTTTGGACTTAAGCAAAGATGGGGGGTCTCGCTCGAACGTTTAAATACTCAACAAACACGGACGCAGACGCGACCCCGGCGGGGCGGGGCGGGCCCCTCCCGGGCGCGCCCGGACGGGACCGCGCAACTGGACACGCGCACGATGACGATCTTCCGAACGGGAAAATCCGATGGATGGCGTACGATTAATTTATCGAAATCTAGGCAATTTGAAGCCGACTACCTACTAATTAGATAAATTGATTTTCTCTCGACGACACGCAAGAAAAGAAGGAAAAAAAAAAGAGAAAATACATAGGACAAAGGCAAAAAAAAAGAAGGAATATGTGCACTAGAAGTCCTAAAACTTATCACAAAAGTGCAATTGAGTCCTAAAACTTTCAAAAAGTGCAAACAAGTCCTAAAACTTATCACGAAAGTGCACTTGAGTCCTAAAACTTTAAAAAAGTGCAAACAAGTCCTAAAACTTGTCACGAAAGTGCAAACAAATCCTAAAACTTGTTACAAAAGTGTAAACAAGTCCTATAACTTTCAAAAAGTACAATCAATGGAAGGACTTGATTGAATCAATTTGAAAAGTTTTAGGACTTATTTGCACTTTCGTGACAAGTTTTAGGACTTGTTTGCACTTTTTTAAAGTTTTAGGACTCAAGTGCATTTTCGTGATAAGTTTTAGGACTTGTTTGCACTTTTTGAAAGTTTTAGGACTCAATTGCACTTTCGTGACAAGTTTTAGAACTTTGAATGCATTTACCCAAAAAAAGAAAGAAGAAAAAACCAAACCAAACCAAACCCATGAAGTTTCTCAGCCGCCCCTCCATTTTTTTACTCGCGCTGAGAAATTTTAAAAGTTCGGTGTCCCCCAAAATTGACGCAACGCGAGTTAGGGGTCACCGCGTGTCTTTCTCGTCCGTGCGAAGGCACGGTAAGGGGCGATGGCTTGTTGAATTGACTATTATGCCCTTATTGTACTTTAATAATTTCGTTTCTTCGCTTTCGCGGGTCCCACTCCCACCTAAAGCCCAAAAGTCCCAAAAAGAAAGGGCAATTAAAATAAAGATTAAAAGGAGGAGAAAAAAAAATTAATAATAAACAAAAGCCGCAAGCAAAAGCAATTGACTGGACCGGGTCGGGGAACCGGTCGTTAATAACCGCCAAGGGAGAAAGTCCGAGGAAAGTAGCACTGTGGATCAGGTCAATTTCTCTTCAAATTTTTTTTTTTGTCGAATGATTTCTCTCAATTAACTATGATGATTATGCGATTAACTTAATGCCAATGATCATCACGTAGTTTTCAAAGTCGAATTGGACATGTTCACCTTGTGCTTTGATGTAGAATCGCGAATTATAAACTCAATTTCCCGATAGGATTAATTGATGAAGAACCGAGACTCACGGATAGTTCATACCCTCAATTCCTGAAATGTCACTTTCAAGGAAAAGGTTGTACTCTTACCTTGTGCTCGATGCATGCTGAAACGGAAATTAACCGGTGATTAGCTCAACAAAATGCGAGTTTGGAGAAGTGAAAGAGTCATCAGTAGAGATAAATGAATATGTTGGAAGGAGGGAATAGGAGCTAGGGCTAGGGTTTCTAGCGAGTTAAACTAATTTGGAGACGTTGACCAAACTTAGTCCTCTGATTCGTTTTCTCTACTGATGTGTCATTTATTTAGGAGTTGATTTATCTCCCGAGTGTAAAGGATTTCGATCCATTATTATTATGAGTCGCAACTAAAAAGAAAAGTTGCTCGAGACACTTGGAGGAGAAGAGAGCGATAATCATTTCGTGAGTAAAACTTCATGGGACGTGATCAATTACCATGGTGTAAGCCAGTTTACCTCTACATGTTCTAGTCGTAAGTTTCGAATTTGAGGCTTAAGGGCGCGCCCGACCGGCATAGCAGGGGAGAAGGAAAATTTTATCCATGGATTGATCAAGTCACGTGTTTTCATATCGAGACCGTTGAATATGCGACACGTGGCTACCCAACACCAATCAAGAGACGAATCCCCCCTCTCTTTCTCTTTCTCTCTCTCTCCACCAACTTATATGTATACATAATTGGAACATGATATACGCCTTACCATAACAAGAGGTAATTATGCCGTTCCCTTTCGATAAGTAGCCTAATGCATAGTTTGTCATTATGGTCAGACACGCGCACACATGTTGAAGCACGCAGGCGGACAGGTGGCACCATGGCCACGGGCGAAGTTACGGGAATGCCCCCCCGGTTCGGACCGGAACGGCCCAACTGCTCCCGGTTCTGTCTTCTCCTTCTTCCCCTGTTTTGAAAAAGCAAGAATCCCCCAAGAAATTGCCTTGTCTTGTAATCTCTCTCTGCTCGCTGAATTGCGTGTTAAACTACAAACCGAAGCGTCCTCGCCAAGAAAACCCGACCCCTCCTTCCATTTCTTTGGCACTTTATTCAGCCTCTGACTCTCTCCCTCTCTCTCTCTCTATAAATATATAGATATGACTGAAATTTGAGCATAAGACTAGTCCTATTGCAGAATAAACAAACCATCCTCCCCCGGTTGACGTGCTCCCCGCTTCATAAATCTTCCTCGTTTTCCGTGACTCGGTCCACATCCTCCTTCCCTGCATTTCCAATCTCTCCTCTAACGTAGAAGAGAGGTCCTTCCTTCAAAGTCCTGAACTCTGTTCTTTGTTTTTTGCAAGCAAGACGAGTTCTTGAACCCAACCCGCTTGAGTCTGCCGGGCGACTTCTTGGTTTTTTTATCTTGAGAGGCGGATACCGCGTGTTGGGTCGCTGGTAATTTGTTCTTTCTTATTCACGTACTCTGCTCTCGAACTTAGCGTATCTTTCTACAGAGACGGAGATCAGTGTCTCTGGGGGAATTCCAATTCCTTTATGCAAAGTAAATGGTGACTCTGAATTGAGAATCTTTGTTAACTTCCTTTTGACAGAGAGATAAAGAGAAGATTTCGACAAAAGGGTCTCCGGTCTGACCGAAGAAGATGGTGGAAGATTTCATCACGAGATCGTTACTGTAAGTCGTGAATTCGCCTACTTTTTGAATGCCCCCGGTTCTTCTTCTTTTTTTTTTTTTTTTTCTCTTTTGTGTTGGAGATCACGAATCTCTGATTCGAAGATTGCAAATGTCAAGTCAATCTCTCTGAATCCGTGTTGTTGGGGCCGGCAGGATGATCCTGGGGTACGCTTACCCGGCATTTCAGTGCTTCAAGACGATGGAGAAAAGCAGAGCCCACAACGACGAACTCCGCTTCTGGTGTCAATACTGGTAAGTCCCAGAAACGCCTCTTCGTGCTCTACGTGATGTAGTTATGGCGGATTGGATTGGATCGGATCGGATTGTTTTGTTCCTATGAAGAAAGTCAGTTTCTTCCTCTCCGAATTCGGTCGGCAACAGCCTAATTTTTGGCAATCCTACCACCACGTTTTCCCTTTCTATTTGTTGGTCATCTATAGTCAATTAGCTCAACCTACCTGATTACTTTTGTTGCTAATACGAGCTTTAGATCTGTTGAAGTTATTTCTCTGGATGATAATCGTACATGGCCTGTCTAAACAAATTTCGGCTATTGGGGTTAGGGAGTAGCTAACTAGACTATCAAACATGGATTCAGTTTTAGTCAACTGTTGATCGTGTTTCGCGGTACTACGCAGGATAATTATGGCAATTCTGACGATATTGGAGAGAATCGCCGACGCGGTAGTCTCCTGGTAAGCAAATTCTGACTTCGAAAGATTAGTGATAACGCGGTTGCTCTGAATTCTCTCTGTTCTAGGATGTGACGATTCTGTTCCTTAATGTATATGTGATTGATCCCTCAGGGTGCCGATGTATGGCGAGCTCAAGCTGGCATTTATCATCTACTTGTGGTATCCGAAAACTAAGGTAATCGAACCGAACCAAACAGGAATTGATGGGTCTTGTTTGCATCCAGCGTGGGCTTTGGAGCTTACATAGCAATCTATTTTTGCAGGGAAGCGGCTTTATCTACGAAAGGCTGCTGCGCCCATTTCTGACGGACCATGAGACGGACTTTGAGACGAAGTTGACGCAGTGGCGAGCCAAAGCCTGGGATTTGGCCATCTTCTATTGGCAGAACTGCTCGGAGTTGGGTCAGCAGTCATTCTTCCAAGTCCTCGAGTACATGGCTGGTCAGTCTAGCAAGAAAACAGAATCCATCACCAAGGTAAGACTGTTCTTTACTCTTCATCCTTTTCCTGTTGTCTGCTTAAAGCTCCAACTGCCCATCAGTCATGCTAGTATTTGATTTGATGCGATGGCATCAACAAAGTAGTAAGTTGTTTCATGCTAGTAATAAGTTCATCGAGTTGAATTTACATTCGCAAAGCATGAAATCGATAAGGGCATAAAAGTTGTTTCGAGTAGAGAGTGAGACTGTGAATATAATAACGAGATTGCATTGTGATTTTCCAAAGTTCCATTACACATCCCTCTCACATATGGCCACTGTTTTGAATCTCCTTTGGGTAAGTTATGAAACTACAACAGCAAAATGAAGATCATAGCTTACTTAATCCAGATTGCCTATCATGTCTTAAACTCAACCTTTTTGCAGAAGAACAAGAAGAACCCACCCGTACCGCCGCCAAACGACACCCCCACTTTCTTCAGGCCAGGGAAGACCAAGAAGAATGTGTACGAGGCACCGAGATCAAACATTGTTCAAGAACAGCTCGATGCCAGAACAGAGTACATGCACATTATTGACGACAATATGCCAGAAGAACCGGAATCTCATCTCGGCAGCAAGCTCCACTTGCCTCACCTTCATCATAGGCGCTGAGAGCCACACCATTGCAGAATACAAATCACTGTAAAAAAACCACAATTTGAAACACCTTTTTCTTGTATTCCTTAGTGTCAAAATTCTTGGATGTTGTTCCTTCATTAGTGTGAGATAGTTTTATGTATCTTTCAATGCTTGTATCAAGTAAAAATACTACAGTTTGAAGTTTTAGTCACCAAGATAGCTTTTACAGACTTGGGATTAGATCAATGAGACATTCTGGCCTACTTGAAGCAACCCAATTTGCTCAACTTCTATTTTCAACCTTAAACTTCAAGCTCGAAGTCAAGCTCATGCTCTTTATTCTACATAAAATAGTGACTCAATACACAAACTGGAACATGAATTCAAGATTACCATACTGCAAAAAGGATCTACACTAACGTGAGACATCATCACATCCTTTTTAATGGTAACCACCGGAGAAAACATACAATTACAATTGAGATATTTCTCCTCCAAAATGAGATGAAATAGTCCAAGCACCTCAGCGTGTTAAGAATTTCAAGAGCAAATACTATGGAGCAACCAAGTTCCTATCGTGTAAACTAGGAGAATTAAAGCCGTAGCTATTTGCTAAACCAATTCCAGGCTCTTCTAGAAAAATGACACCTGAACTAAAAATTTCTGTAATGGGAATAAGCAAGAATAAACAGGTAAACGACTGGGAAGAATACAGAATAATTATATACTTCTCAACAGATATGATCTGACACAGCAGTACCTTTAAAGAAAGAATAACTACTGCACGTGTAATGCTCGAAGAGCCATTAACAAATCTGCACAAATTTCAACTTGCACTCCTGTGATGACCCTTGCTTCATATGTTTTCCTCCTAAACATTACATGAAATAAGAGGCCCACATCCCGAAGGGTTAGGACCACTTTTTACAAGTCAGTGGAATCTCTATGGCCAAAATCCAAACCATCAACACCACAAGGTTTCATGCTCCAATCTAACTTACACCATTCCAAACTCACCGTCATATGCGACCTGGATAGAATATATGGCTCGCTGGAATAACAGTGGGATAACTTAAAGAGGACAATCTGCTCTTCCAAGGCGTCCTTAGTATTCAGAGTGAAAAAAGGAGAATAACTAAAGATGTTTCTGACTTGAATAAGATGCCAATCAATCAAGCATAGAACTTCAGCAGCTGTTTGGATGTGAGTTAAGATCAGAAAACAAATTACAAGAACCCTGCCAAAGATTGGGGGGGCGGGCGGGGGGGGGGGGAGGAGTGTGGGGGTGGGTTGTACTAGCTGACAATTACATGGGTCGAATAAAGACGCCACCAAAACACACAAACTTTGGCTTTTGTCACTCTCGTGAAGGATTGTCTCTCTTCTCCTGGTGACTTTTACTCATGGCTAATGGCTATAGCTAGTCACTGAGACAATTAAAATCCATAATCAACAGTCTAAACAAGAACTTTAAAGTCGAATGACACATGTTCTGAGCTTAGTTAATAAGCACCATTTACCATTCACATGTTGGGCCGCAGGAGAGCCTCTGCCACTTTCGTTCAGTTTCTTTCAGTCACAATAGTCGGAAGCAATCAACTCCTAACTTAGCAATTACTATGAAAATGAAGATATGCAACATAACACAACACCAAGCACCTTATACACCCAGCTCAAATGCAAGCGCTGCGACATTATAACTCGCATTTCAAGAATGCAGTGATTAGAACACCCTACAGCAAATCAATTCAGCTCTTTGATTTTTCTCACCATGTAGACCAAAAACAGAATCACGAGCACATCATGTTTTGAAAAAAATTTCAGCTGCAAGAATCGCAATATCCTCTATACATTCAATCAAACTTCACAATTTGTACACCACAAGGGAGAGGAGGACAGGGGCATCGATGAGTTACAACAAATGTCCAGTCTTTTTTGAAACTGTTCTTCGCTGGTCTTTAACAATGTAGGGAGAGGGAAACAAACGCCCTTCTCGACACAGCATTTGTGCCTAGGCTTGATCCTATTCTCTAAGCTAAACGAGAAATAATGCGGGAACTCCTTCAACTCCTTGAAGTCCCTGCCCATCTCCACCACGAAGTAATTGAACTTAGGCTCCAAATTCTCCTTTATACTGTAACAGAACAACTGCGGGAACCGCCTAAACATCACGGTCGCGTCCCGATGCGAGAACCCGAGATTCTTGAAGTACTCGATCCTAGGGACAAACTTATCCTCGACGCTACAGGACAGCAGAGAAGTATACTTGTTTACCTCGGCGATGCCGATGCTCTGGAGGAAATAGAGGGTGGGGCGGAGCCGGTGCTTGACGCTGCAGGCGAGCAGCCGCGGCCGCCGGTTGACGACCCTCCGGAGGTCGGAGCCGTCCACCCTCGCCTCGCGGAGGAGGAAGGTGAAGACGGGGAGGACGTCGGCGACCCGGGAGGTGAGGACCTCGGGGCACATGCCCACGACGCGGCGGAGCTCGACGGCGGTGAAGCCCATGGAGGAGAGGAAGTGGAGGGTGGACTTGAGGTCGGGGAGGGGGGCGGCGGCGACGTCGGGGTGGCGGCGGATGAGGGCGAAGAAGTCGATGCCGAGGGAGTCGAGGAAGAGCATCTTCTCCTCGAACTCGGCATGGGAGGGGAGCGGGGGAGGAGGGGGAGGGGGAGGAGGAGGAGGGGAGGGGACTACGGTGGCCTTTGTGGGTTTGGGAGGGAAGGAGATGGTGGTGGCGGCGGCGGCGGCGGTGGCGGAGGTTTTGGAGGAGACGGCGGCGGGGGGGAGGCGGAGGGTTCTTGATGGGTGGGGAGGGAAAGGAAAGTGATGGGGTTGAGTGAGATGGAGAGAGAGTGGGTCTTGCATGATGATGCTACATGGCTTTGGGGAGGAGGAATGAAGAGGAGGGAGCTGACGCTTTGTTGTTTTGGTGGGGGTGTGAGGATAAGGGGATGAAAATTTCCTGACTTTGCAGATTGCCTCTGATTATCCAATGAAAATGGAGAATCCTGGAAGATGAGAGAGAGAGAGAGAGTTAGAGACGCACACAGCCGCAGAGGGAGGAGGACGAGGAGGAGGTATTTGGGCCGGTCCAACTTCCATGGGCCTTCCAAAAGAAACAGCGTCGAATGTCTAAAAGTGTGGCCTATACAAGTGGAAAAGTTAAGATTAGGAGGCAAATACCCTTTTTTTTTTTGGTCGCAAATGCTGGAAATTTCCATTAACTCAAGCCAAGTTTGTGAACATCATAGCATGAAATAGCCAACATCGGTTTCGGGGGATGAAACAGAGAATTAGAGGGGAGTTCTTTTTTTCGTTGGGCCTCTGCTACTCAATCTGCTAGCTTGTTTGCCTCTTTTGGACAATGGGTCGGATGTACAAAGCTGAGTGGATCAGCTTCATTTTGCAATCATAACTCCGGGACCCGATATCCCACGGGCCTTGATCAGCGACTGGCTGGCAAGCGGTTGACCAAAGTAAGATTATCACTTTCCAGTTCAAGCACTTCTGCACGAAGTACATTCCGATCAAAGGCTTCTTCTTCCAGGAACTGAAGACACCGGAGCAGAGCTAGGGTTTCAACCGCCATCACTAATTCAGCATAAATAGAGTTTGTGAAGCCATGAATCAACACACCTTAGGAGTTGCGAGCCAATCCGGCAATTGCACAATCCGGCGACCCTTCCGATTTTGAATAGCCAACGTTGATCTTAAGGGATCCTCTTACCGGTGTTTGCCAAATAGAAGGTAATTGAGTTTGTTGTTCCTTTTTCCTTTTCGTTCCCGCATTCCACCTCAGGAAACTTGTATTCTCAGTGATTGCATGATCAATAATCTTGCTTGGGTCCTGGCGGCATGATTGGAAGATGTAGGTATTACACACCTTCCAAATTAACCAGAGAATGACCGCGATTTCCTCGTTGGACAACGGGTTTCTATTTGATTCAAAGCATTGCGATCCATTTGTCCAATCTAGTGATGGGTTGGCTTGAATTTTGCAGCTTTAGCCTTGGATTCGCCCAAATTGTTGTTGTCCAGTGGCAAATGAGAAAAATATGCTCCATTGTTTCTTGCGCTTGGTGACACAGAGGACATATGAGGTTAGGTAAGATTTTTCTCTTGTAAAGATTCTCTATGGTAAGTGGACATTCTAGCATGCACTCTAGAGAAAGACTCGGACTTTAGGAATAATTGGCATTAAAGGACCGATGGTGCTTGTGAGAGTCTCAAGCCCGTTTACCTAACATTGCCTTGTTGAAGGGATTAAGATCATGAAAGCCACTCTCCCCACTGTCTTTTCTGGTTTTGAGAATTTCTCATTTCTTCCAATGCAACTCAGACTTCACATCATTCTACTTCTATGACAAGAAGCTATCCTTTGTTCAATTGCTCTACAAATAGATAATGGGATTTTGAAGATAGACATAGCATATTGAGGCTTGCACAATGGTCTTGATCAATGTTTCATTTCCTACTTTGGATATTAGCTTATGTTTCCAACCCTCCAACTTCATGTTCACTTTTGCTAGGATCCAAGTAAACATTTACTTCTTGGTTTGTCCCCAATTGGAGGGAATTCCTAAGTACTTTCCCATATTGTTAATCACCGGGACTCTTAGCTCTAAGGCCATGTTCATGCTCATGTTTTCCGAGCATCCCCAACCGAAAAATATTCCTAATTTGTTCAAGTTGATGGCCTGTCCCGAATTAAATTAGTATTGGCTCAACATTGTTGCTAAGTTATGACACTCCCTAATTTTTCCATCTAGAAAAAAAATGGCATCTTCATCCACATATGAGAGGTGAAATAAGGTAGAGCAAAACCTGTTTAACTTTTATTCGTGTAATGCTATCATGTCCAACTGCCTTATTCAAGAGGTGAGAGATCACATCAGCTAGAATTATGAATAAGTAGAGAGAAAGAGAATCACCTTGCCCAATGCCTCTTAAGAGCTGAATTAGTCTAATGGTTCTCCATTAAATTCTACACTTAAAGTCACCAATGTTATACATGCCATGACCAAAGACACCCATCTCTCACAAAAACCCATCTTCTTCATCTATACTTCTAGGAAGTCCAATCTCACACGGTCATACGCCTTTTGCATTTCGAGTTTTAAAATTGCTTAAAATTTTTCCTTTCGTTACCCTTAACCGATGCAATGCTTCCTAGATAATCATAATATTATCCCGAATCTATCTTCTGTTTACAAAGGCACTTTGTTCAATGGTTATAATCTCAGGGAGCCAACGTTTAAGATGGTTAGCCATGACCCTGGAGATGATTTTATTTGCAAAGTTACACAAGCTAATGAGCCTGAATTGAGACAAGCTTTCTAGATTTGGAACTTTGAGGATTAGAAAAATATAAGTCTTATTTAATTTATGATGAAAAATACCATAATTAAAGAAACATTTAACCTCCTTGAACACATCCTCTTTAATTTCAGTCCAATGATGTTAGAAGAATTGGCCGTTAAGTCCATCGGTGCATTTATCACTCCCAACCGAAAAACTGCATTTTCCACCTCTTCCACGATGACTGACCCACTAAAGCTTTGTTCATATGCTCTCATACTAGACAAGGGCATCGGTCTAGTATTGGTTGAAAGTCTCTTGACCCCCCAGAAGTATAGAGAGTTTGGAAAAAATAGACCGTGTGTTGCGTTAAGAGTTTTAGGATTTGATTACACTTTTTCAAAATTTTAGGATTTAGTTGCATTTTTTCAAAATTTTAGGACTCAATTGCACTTTTATGACAAGTTTTACAACTTTCAGTATACTTATCTTATTTAAAAAAATTTCTTCTTTTCGCCACCTCAAGATCTAAAGAAAGAATAATCGGACTGTGATCAGAACTTATTGCCTGTAATGCAAACGCTTCAGCACTAGGATGCATAACCCTCTATCATATGTTGCAAAGCGCTCTATCAAGCCTTTTTCTTAACTAAGGCCTCCAATTCTATATTGTTTGTCCAAGTAAATGTGCAGCATTTACGCTCGATATTCATCAAAGAACATTCATTTGAAAAATCTCGGAAAGCAACTAACCTATAGTGGTCCGCAACTCTTTTCCCAAATCTCTCTCAATGATTTAGTATCTCATTGAAGTGCCCCAAACACACTCAAAGGACCCAAAGGATGGTGTTGGATAAATGAATACATCTTAGCTTCTCCCATAGTGCCTTCCTTTCGTGTAAACCCGTCGGCGCATATAAAAAGGTGATTCTCATGACTTTGTCACTGCTTTGGATAGTACAAACTAAATCAATATACTCCCCACTTTTGGATACTATCTCCGTTATCATCTCATCATTCCACAAGACTGCTTATTACCCAACAATACATACTAGATCGATCAATACTAAATGCGAGATTTGAAAATAACGCATCGTTTGACTCATTACTTCCTCCATGTCCTTCGACTCCATAAGAAACACAATACTAGGCCTTTTTTGAGCTACGAGAACTCTTAATGCCTAGAATATTAGAGGTGTGCCCAACCCCTAACAATTCCATCTCAAAAGTTTCATCTATCCCCTGGTGGCTTATTAGTAAGGGTGAGCGGTTTCATATTCCGTACAGGTTTCACTTAAAACCTATGGGAACAGATGTGATATCCTGATTCTGGCTCACCTATTTTAATGCGTAGAGAATAACGTTTGGAAATGTTATTTCACAATGGCTATTGAAGAATAGTTTTTGGGTGATTAATTCATGTTTTATCTACCTTTCTTTTGTGAATTATCGATTTTGCGATGATCGTGATTTTAAGGTGCATGAGCTTTATATAATTTCTATTGATGTGGTGTGGAATCTAAAGGGCTTAGTGATGGTGGCGCCTTGCATTTTTGGCTCCTGGTGTTTATTAGCAAGTAAAAATGGCTCGGTGGAAATATTGTAAAATTTGAAAATTACAGGGGTATTTATGGAAAAAAAGGTCATTTATAAGTCAAACTTTATTTTCCTTTGGAATCCGCCGACCCCCTTCCTTTCTTTGTCCTTGCCGCCGCCAACCTTCTTCTTTGTCTTTGATTGTTGATTCTTAGTTGACATCTCCTCCATTAGTCCAATTCAAGGAGACAACCAAAAATCTTTTTGTCTCTCTCTCTCTCCTCATGACTTTATAATCTTCATTTGTTATAATTTGAAGTCCAATTATTTGAGTTGTGATGATTATTTAGCCAAGAAAGTCTCTCTCTCTCCTCTCCCTTTCACATGGCCGAACCCCATCTCTCTTCTCTTTCTTTGATTCTTATGTTGCTTTATTGAAGAAGCTTTGAGTCCAATTATGTGTGAATAATGATAACTTTTGAGCTAAGGTCTTTCTTATCTTTTCTTCTCTCTTTCTCTCTCTCACGCCGACCTCTCTCCCTCTTCCCCTTCATTTCTTTTGTCTTGTCTCAATTGATAATCTTTGAAGTCTATATATTGTATTAGATAATATTTGAAGTTACATTAATTGAAAATGATGATGAGTCTTGACTTTATGGCTTTTTTCTTTCTCCTTCACCGACCAAACCACCTCTCTCCACCGTGCTCTCTCTTTACTCTCGTTCCTCATCGTTTGTCTTCTTGAGATCTCACTTGTTTCCTCTTCGCTGAAGCTTGAGTTTCGGCGTACCTCGAGAAAGACAAAGGAAGAAGCTTTACGATCGTATCTAAGGCGAGTATTCTCGCCATTTCTCTTTGTTTCAACCATTTATGTTATGATTAGAGGCGGAGCTTAGATTGTACGTTGTACGTAAAGCCGACTGGTAGTCGCGCAAAACTTGTGAACGTTGGTGGAAGCTTCGAAATGAAGTATTTTTTTGACAATGAGTTTGTTTGCTTTAAAGACGGTGGAAAAATGTGATTTTTCGTTGGTTCTGAAATTCTGACGGTAGTCATTCATGTTGATAATTCGGCTGGTGCTAATTTAGAGGAAGTGAAAATAGTGTTTCATAGTTAAATCGGCACGATGAGGTCGTGTAGTGGTACTATATGTGAATGACGAACATGATTTTCTTTGCATGGCTAGCTTTTATTGCTTACATGCCTTTTACAACTTTCAATATATCTTGTGAGTTAGTTGTGATGAACTCAAAAAATTCCGGTGGTGACGAGATTGAAACGGTGCGGTTGATGGTGCAGTCATGGACACTCCGAATAATGATTATTTTGACTATTGTCGTTCGTATCTTATTTACGATATTGATATAATAATTGTTGAGTATTGAAGTTGACATGTTGCATTTCCGTTATTTTATCCATATACATTACATTGTGAGGATTACGGTGAGGACCATCGGCTAGAGTACCGGTGATGTCCCGTGGGAGCCAACGAGGGAATTCGGGAAGCTCAAGGCCATTATACCTTAAGGCCGTGCTGTGTGATCTCGGTGATAGATGCGTAAGTAAGTCGTATAACCTCGGAGTAGAAGCGAGACGCTTGCTGCTGTGTGGTCTACAGAAGATCGATTCTTAAAATCGATGGTTACGAATGAGAGTGGCATTTACGGGGAATTCATGGGCATATCATATGCATTCTCATATACATATTATCATTATTCATATCATGATGGAAATCGATGATCTTGTGGTCGACTCTTTAATCGTGATATAACTGTTTGAATAGAATATTCATAGCTTGATTTACTTGCTGAGTTTATCTCGCTGTTGTTGCTTTCCATGATTTTCTTATCATTAGCATGGCGTTCCATCTACCCACTGGACCCATCTCTACATATGGTTCGGTACTAGATATCGAGCGATCGTTCGCTGAGCGTTCCAATCCCATCGTATCTGGAGTGGTGTGAAAACACCACTCGACTATTGTCTGGGTCAACTGCTTTATCTCCTTAGGACGGATGCCGTTTCGTTTTGTATCGGACTACTTCCGCATAGGTGGTTGCCTATTTGGACCCGTCCCCTTCCTTTGCAAGAGTGTGAGAAGGTTCTCGGCTGGTGGTTGATCAGGTCAGGTGTTGATACAGCAGCCCCTTTTTGTTTGAGCTGCATCATGGCCGCTGACAGGTAGTCTCCTAAGGTTTTTGTATGGCAGCTTTAAGACAAGCGTGGATATGATGTTTTGTAGCTAGTAGAAGGAGTAGACTAGATCCTTACTTTCCCAGTTGTCATTTCTTTTGTGATGTAAATATACTAATCACCTAAAGAAAAAAAGATAAATAAGAGTTGTCTATTATGTTTCTTCTATTATCTCTATTTTACATTTTCGTCTTTCGCTTGCATTTTTAATCAAATCAGATAATTAAGCTGCATAGTTTTTATGACGGCCTGAGACATCACGGCTCGAGTCGGTATCGATACAACATGTTTCTCATTTTTTGAAACTTGGAACCTACACTACATATCTTGGAACTTGGAGCCTACCCTATCACAAGTTCTAGGGTTAGTTTCAGGTTCTACTCAGGTTCTACTTGTATTATTAATTAAATAATTATAGTGAATCATCACCTTTAATCACCACCACTTGCTACTACGATCCACTCATCACAACTTATATTAGACACACGAAAAATATGAAACATTAACAAGTCATAAAATGAAAGCTCATATTAGTAGTTCTAGATTATACACTCATCATCTAACGCCATGGGACACCGCAAGATCATGCGAAGGCATAGACCAAGAAAAAACACAAAAAACTTGTTTAAGGTTTAAGGTTTTAGGACCCATAGAACCTATCCTACATACCTTGGAACCTAGAACCTATAGGTTCCCATCGGTCAAGTTTCAAGTACTACCTCAGAACCATGCTTACCTTACTTATTAAAGCTAGCCACCAAAGCTCATTCCTTTATTCCATCCTTAACCAAGTTGGGAGTTTCAAGAAGCGGAGTTTCATTAAAAGCATTAGAGTCAGCCCCATGGGCACTATAAGGAGTGCAATTTTCTTTATTGTTAGAGTTTTGTGGTCCTTTATGCTTTTCCTGGAAGATTCGGTGGGGCTCTTAGATGGTGTCTCAATCCAGGGTGAGTATGAGAGCAAGAGTTGCCTTCCTAACTGTCTTTTTTCCCTTGTCGCCATTATTACATCAGCTATTCCTTTATCATTATGTTTTAATAACTCAACTTGCTGAATCTCCATTGGCTTAGTCAGTAGCTGATTGTCAATTTCGATTGGTAATTTATCCTCCAAGATATCGCCTTGTGATGGTGTTTGTGCTATGATTTCATCCTCCTCAAGAATATGAAATTCTTTCGCATAAAATACTTTCCATATAGGGCTTGCCTCACGCGCTTCCGCTTTTAACTATAGCTAAAGTTTCAACAACATTTTCCTTCGGCCCGGATTATTCATATGGCATTTCCTTGCAGCTGGTAGTGTAATGGCCAAATCTTCCACATAAATAGCAATGTTCGTACTTAGAATCAACTCACAGTTGATCTTGTCAAAATTCACCATAATCTGAGACTTTAGTGGGCTCGAAAGGTCAAGAAGGACTCTAAATTTTCCAACTTTGCACAGACCTTCATTTTTCCCCTCTAACTTAAAGTCCAGCACTTTCCCCATTTTTTAGGCCACTTCTAGCATCACATTCTCAATAATTCTCGCTAATGGAAGGCTAAACACTTACACCCATAAAAGCGCAATGGGTAAATTCAAAATAGTGAACAGGAATCTTGGGCCTCAGCTGTTGAAGGAAAAGCAAATTGCTTGAAAATGACCACAGACTAGCTTCAAAAACTCTTTTCTTATCAATTTTCGAGCTAAATGTGAACGTAAATAAATCCGGCTCCATCTAGTCATATACCATGTTCTCAATTTTCTAAGCTTTTCTCATTGTAGATAGGAATATCTGAAAATATATATTTGGTCTAAAGTAAAGTTTTCCCAACAAAATGAAGTTGCATTTTTTCAATTTTTCCTCAGGAAGCAACCACATTTTACCTAGTTGTCTACAAAGGGCATCAAGCCTTTATTCTTTATTAATCTCACCTTCCATACTACCCACTACTCTTATGTGGTAGGAGCTTACCTCTATGATATTCCAGACTTTACTACACACGATAAGTCCTAAGCAAAAGGGCCAAATGACAGCACAACCTCTATCTCATGAGCTAGATCAAGCACCCATGACGCCCACCCGAGCTTACTAGAACAGTCAAGCAGCAAGCCAATTCGGGATTGAGAAACTTAAAAAGGGAAAAAGAATCTATGGATGAAGGAAGCTCTAAGCAAAGGGAACAGGGCTCTGGCGACCCAAAAAGAGTTAGGGTTTTGGGATTTGGGATTAATCTGGGAGTCTAGAGCTATGAATAAAACTAGGGACAAATGTGGTTGCTGGAAGTAATGGGTATTGTGGATTTGAAGTTTTGTACCTCGCTCTTGTTCTAAGATAGAGGAAATAGGGAAAAGACAAAATCGGGAATTGGTGAAAAGGGGAGGAGAATCAATGAAGAGGAGGGATTCCATGAAAAGGAAGATTGGTAAGAAGGTTCAAGTTTAATTTGAATGCCATGAGAAAAGATGGAGCACAAAAATTTAAGGTCTTTTTAGGGGTTAGCTATTACCATGGATAGGGAAAGCTCTTACAAGGAAGAGAGAAAAATCCTTACATAGAAGAGAGTTAATGTGATATCCAAAAATTTTCCTGCATTTATATGGAGGAATTTAGTTTCGATTCATGTCACATGTGAAGATTTAAGTCAAGCAATTAATAAAAATTTAAGTCAAACGATTATTATGAGACTAAGTAGATGACATAATGTGCTATTTTATCTAATTTAACCTAAGCTCATAAATGCCATTAATAAATCACTCCTTACTTGGTCGATGGAGATGAATTCTTCCCGAATATCTTCTTTTATGGCTAATATTATTGAACAACTTGTGCCTAGCTACTTACTTAGAACCACATGAAGCATTCTTATTAACAACTTACATCTCTACAATCAGGTTTAATGATTTTACCCTATGAACATTTATTTACTTTAACCATGATTAATTTAGCTCATTCCTTCGTTCTTTGCCGAAGTAGTATATTAAATTCGGTAAAGAGCTTTCAAAGGCAAAGACCCCACTCCATTTACTTCACCAATCAACTTCTCATTTTCTCTCAATTCTCACTTTGAATTCTCAAGAGTAAAAGCGGTGGTCCCATGTTCATATTATTAAAGTTTCAATCCCAATCTTTCAAGTTGCACGAGGTAAATCATTAATTTCCTCTACTTTCCATAAATGGGTTTTATCGTTTCAAAGGTTAGAGTTGTTAATTTCTATTCTTATTTATTTTGCTTTGAAGGGATCTAAGCTCGATCTTTACTCAAGTCATTCTCAAGGTAAGTGAAAGATCTTGAAACTAAGTTAGGTTATTCTACTTAGTACTCTTGACTTGGTTGTATGATGGTTGAGATTTTAGTTTGAATTCAAATGCTAGGTGTAAGAAGTTGCCATGATCATGTGTTGAAAGATTATGTTTATTTGACTTAATTTGATAAGTTCTTACATATTTTTAAGGAATTCTAGTATATTCCATAAGAATTGATAGAATATTTGATGGAAAAAGTATACAAATGGAGGAGTTGTCAAATTGGAAGTGTTGAAAATAAGTTGAATGAACTTTTCTAGAAAGTATCGGGTCATAATAATGAAGCTATTGATTTCTGTGGAAAGTTGCCAAATTTAGCAAAAATTTACCGATTTTCTGAGTTACCGAATTTTTGAGTAGCCGAAGAATAAATAAATAAATAAATATTTACTTTTTGTTTTCAATTTCTAGTCTCAGTATGTTGTCCATTCCAAGGTGTACATTAGAATATGGTTAACACCATGAAAAACCCCAAATTAGAACACCTATGATAAATTTATCCAAAACTAATTTTTTGACCACCAAAAACCCAAAACCGGTACATTTATGACAAACTTACATTCCATTAAATTGGATTAATACCATGAAAAACTACAAACTTGTATACCCGGGACAAACGGAGGATAAAACCCTAAATTGGTACACTCGTTACCTGTCACGTGTCATCCAACTCAGAAATTTGACAATAAAATTTAACAGAATTTAACGGAGGGTAAAATTGTCACAGATGTCTCACCCCGAAACCTACCAGAACGGGGGTTGACACGGCCGTCTTTTCACCCGAAGAACGCAGCCTAAACCCGCAACCAAAGAAGAAACTCCCAAAAGTTCCCACGACATCGCTCTCGCTCTATTGGCTACTAATCAAGAAACTTGAAAAGATTGGGAAAGAGAAGAGTGAGCAACCACATATTAGTAAATAGTGCGTATCTCTTCTAAGCAGATCGAGCAGCCACTATACATACACACACATACATACATACATATATATATATACATACATACATACATACACACACACACACACACACACACACACACACACACACATATATATATATATATATATATATATATATGTATATAACAATACCATAAGCTCATACTTCAATCCAAAGATATAACATATATCAAATCAAATACGAGTTGTTTCATTTCAAAAAAACTTTATGAAAGTCAAAATTACTCATTTAATCACCATCACAAGACAAACATCAATGGTCAAGTCCATTGATTAATCTCTATAAAAAATCACGTCAATGGTCCATTCAATT